CACATTCAGAAAAAAGAATGAAATTAGCTATTTTCAAGTTTGTATAGTAAATAGTTTTCCACTGTTAAGCAATATTAGATTTTCATACAATACATCATGGTGTGTACATTTCTTTTATAATGTTTTCATTTGTTGCAGGACTATAGAATATAAAAATATATCATATATATTGGCTTACAGAATCTAGTCAGGAAAAGATTTAAGAATGAGAGCTTTAATGGCTTACACTATGCAGCCATCTAAAAATCAATCAATCTCTTGAAAGTTGCCTCAGAGCCATATGTGTTAGTCAGAATTTTATATAGTGTACTGTAATAAAATCCAAATGAATAAACTTAATTCCAGAGAACCTGAGAGATGAAGAGGCATTTATTTGTTTCTTAAATATTGTACATGGGATATAGATAACTTCAAAGGTTTGACAGATCCTAGTATTAAATGCTATAGCATCTTTTTTCCATTGTACTATTTAAGTATTTATTTTCTTTTGCAATGTAATGTACCCTCCTAAATATAGAAGATAGACATATACAGTTGTTATCACTGGGACAGCCCATTTTTAGTATTTTAAAGAATGCATTCCTTTAATAGTATCTGCAGTGCGTGTACTGTTAATTAATAGAATATATGAGTTAATGACTGTTCCATAGTAAGAAAAATTAATTAACTTGCTTTCTAAAGAGAGAAGGTATCATCCTTCACATTTCTTCCTCAGGTCAACATACTATTTAAGTTGGCTCTTTTTCATTTTAATAAATGTCCCTTGCATTATACTTAGTTAATCCTTGAATGGGTTGAATTTATTCCTGCCCACAAATTAAAAATAATTCATTTTTAAATTGAAGGAATTTTTTTCTGTATAAAGAGAGTTTCCATATGAAATTTTGGATTTTTAAAACCTCTCTCATTTCATTTTCACTTGAAGATCATTATTTTCGTTACTGAATCATTACATTCTCTCACTAGGTTCAGGAACTTTTTTCCCATTCCACAAACATATAGAAATAATGTGTTCCATGGCCAGGTATCTCAATTTTTAAGCCAAGAGACATCCCTCTCCCACAGACCTAATGATCCCTGCACTGAGCATGTCTACACGTGCCCCAACAGTGCAGTTGTTACTGCGCTGTCATTTAGTACTTGCTTTAGGAAGTACTGAATGATTGCACAGTAACAGCCATTACTGTGCCATGTAGGCAGTTATTTTTAGCAGCTGCATTGCCGTAGCAATGTGCTATAATGAGGTAGCTCATTGCTACAACGACATAGTGTCAGCATCACGGGTTGTGCCTGCCAGCCGACACTGTTGTTGTAGCTTGTCGCTACAGTGACATAGCGCCTCATGTAGACATGTGCAGTGATGATGTTTGGAGAGTCATGCTAGGAATTAAGGGTTTATGCTTTTCGTAGATTTTCAAAATAAACCTTAGTAAGTACTTTCTACTTAGAAGTTGGCAACATGTTTTGGGTTTTTTTTCTCTTTTTATTTCTTTTAAGATCCTTTCTATTTTAAGATCCTTTCTAGTTTGAGTAGGCCTTCCTTTCCATCTGTAGTTTCCAGTGCGTCTCAACTATGATTTTGGCAACTTCTAGTGTTTTTAGGAGGGGCATCTGTTACAAATGCATTCAAGGCTGATGCCTTGATTTCTACTTGTACATATACAAAAAGGTTATTTAGTTAAAGTAGTTTCTTGAACAGATGCACAGTTCGCTACAGTTTGTTGTTTAGATGGGATGCCTATCATCCTTTTCTATGATGCTTACTTGCAAGTCAGTCACTTGCACTGGATGTCATGGGAACAACTACTTGATGATGATAAACAGGTTATTTACTTAACAATAGCTAGAGTTCTTTGAAACGGCTTTCTCCATATGTCTTCACAATCTGTCCTTTTACACTAATGTTGAATCACAATAATGGATTTTTGTTATTGGTCATCCCAGGATGTGTGACATTGACAGTATGATTTTTCACTTAATGTAAGAAGGGGTCATTAGCATTTAACTATCAGAAATAACAGAGTCAGTGCAATGTAAAAATGGCAGGCCCATTGTCAAAACATATTGCTTTACTTAATCTTTTCAAATCACAATTGTTCATCCTTAAATCAAAGTAGTTTGAAGTTGAAAGTGAACAAAATAAATTAAAATCTATCGTTTTATAAGTTGCCCATCTTTATATTTGGGTTTGGTATCTTTCATTTCCAAGTCACATCAAGTCTTAAATAGCTTGACTATACCTTCAATTTTTTTCAACAGCATAAAATGTAAAATGAAATGCAAATATACAAAAATGATAACTGACTAGATTTCATTTGTGAAATTATTCACCAGTAATTCTGTTTCTCGTAGTACTTCACTCAGTCTATGTGGCAAAAAGCAATTACAGAGAGAGAAATATGACTCCTGTAGTAAGGACTATAAAGAACTGATATAGACTCATATTTCTTTATGAGAAATATTAAGGAGAATAAAGATCTTTCAATCCAAGCTAGTACACATGCACCAATCAGTCTGTTTCCTTAAAATTTTAGATTTCTACAGCAACGTATAAATGAGAAATTAAAGGGGAAAATGCCAAGAAGCATTCCCCAATGAGAGAGAGAGGCAATATAGGGTGGAATTTGAAAGACTTGAACAAAAAAATTACTCATCAATAATTTTTCCTAGTTCATTTTCTTCTTTTATTTTCATCATATCTATATTGAGAAGATGCTTGGAGCAAAGACCCAAAGGTGGCAGATTTCTTTTACATTTGGAACACTTAAGAGCCAACAGATTTTAGCAGAAAGGAACAGATCAAAAGTATGAGGAGGTGGAACAGGTGGCCACTTGACAAATTTCAAAAGCAGATTCTTCTTCTCTGGGACTAAAAAAAAAATCAGCTTTTGAACCTGGGTTCTTGTTTGCTTGATATTTCTTTTGTGCCATAGAAAAATGCTAAGAATGAGTTTGTAATCTCAGATAAAGGAAATAGTTAATTAGAACTGAATAGAAATACAATTTAAGATGAGCAGAGCTGAGTTACAAAATATATGCGTTATCATGCTGGCTATTTATTCCTTGGTTGTAGTTGCATGAATTTGCAGGTGTTAAATTATCGAGAGAATGTCTCCCCAATTTTCCCTGTTTTCATGAGAAACATATTGAGAAGTACAAGGAAGAAAATGAGCATTGGCTAACAGACTACAAATTTCAGACAATATGTATTCCCTACCTCTCATCTAGTCTTATGTGAATGCAGAGTGCAATACTAATCAGTCTTAATTTATGATGTGTTTTACTTCTGTGACAAAATAGAAAATGAGAATAGCAACAAAAACCTTAGTGATGTATATTTCTCTGTAAATGGGGCACCTTCAGTGAAATCATTTTAATGTGGTATTAGCATGACTAGATTTATTTTAAAAAACACAAAAAAGTTACATTTTCAGTGCATCATATTATCCTGATTAATGTTCCAGATCTACATTAAGTATTTTGAAGAAATAGAGCATTGTTGTTGGTAATTTGGCCTGAGGTTGTAAATTAAATTTTATTTAGTTTACTGTCATGTGTTCTGGTGATTATTATGTTTATTTGCCATAGTGCTGTATTCATCTTACACAAAAAAAATAGATACATAGTTTTGGTATATACCAAATCATTTATTACATTTGATCTTTGCATAATATTTGATTATATGGTGTATATAGTACTTAAACTTCATGATAATGTAAATCTGTATTTTCATCTTTTTTTTTCTTTTAAAGTATTACCAGCTCTGTCAGTGTGTCTTACACTTCAGTACATTCACTGTTTTATTAAGTCTGTATCGTGTTTGTTTTCAGGGGATAGTCAAAAATAGACTAAGCAACCAGCTTATGTTCGTGAATGTTTTCTCCAGTTCCTCATTGTAAATTAAAAAATCTATTGGAAATTATCTGTTTGCTCAGGGCTGTGCTACCTGAGTGGTTAAAGAGATAAAACAATGCTTCCTGATCTAGTGCAGTCAGTTTTAAGACTTTTTTCCCCTTTGAAATTTCATAAATTTGTTTTGGCCTTTCCTATTCTACATTACTGGATTCTGAAGTGATATGCTCTAATTAGATGCATGTCCTCCTATAGGTTGTTAAGTGTGCTGTGCTGTGATCTTGAGACACTTCTGCTTTTAGAGTCCCAATATAAAGTGTCACAAATTCTACTGAATGCTCAGAAGGAGAATGTCGTAGAAACTTCTGATGGACCTGGGTAAGAAATGACCAATATAAATAAGATGTTAAGTATCTTTAGATCTATTCCAGCAAATACTTATACACTTGAATAATTTTACTCATATGAATACTCCCACTGAAATCAATTAGACTCCTAACCTAAGTAAAATTACTCATTTGCATGTTTGTAGCATTGAGTCCTTAATGTTTAATAAAAATGATATGTATTTAAAACCTAAGAAAAAGTGAGACTGATTTTTTTTTTCACATACAAAATAAAATAAACTGTACTTATAACAATAGTCAGCACAACAGCATGATTCAAAAGTCATTTTCAGTTTGCATTATTTAAGGAGTCTTGTGTCTATGTTATAAAGTTATGGTATCTAAAAAGATGCATATGTTGACATTTTCTCTTTATAACTCAAACTTCATTCTTTTTATGATTTTTAGTTGCTAATTACCTAAGCAAAATTAGCTAGTGTGCAATCTCTCCTCAAAGAAAGGCCTATAGTGCAGATGGTTTACATGGTTTACAGGAATTGAGAGCTATTAAAATCACTGTCAGTTTCTTTATTATCTCTCTTGGCGTGTTGAACGTTAAAAACTTGCCACTTTCTGTGTTTACTATTTGGGATCAATACAGAGCTGACAACAAAGTCCTCTAAGGGAAATTAGGTGAGTTCTTCCTGTCCTTTTTTTCTTATACAGGTATAACCCAACTTACAGTGAAACTCTTTGACTAGTGTATCGCTGAAGTAATTTGCAACTTGGGTCACTGATAAATCAAAATATTTTTCCCCCTAGAGATTTTATAATTGATGGTCTTTCTGTAGAGAGAAACCATGTTCTCGTTAGGATGAATCTCATTGGAGGACCACTGGAACGGATTTTACCTCCAAGAATACTAGATAAGGTAAGAAACAAATTGAAGTTTTTTTTCTGTTTATGAGCATTTGTTCTAGGAGTTCGCATTTATATTGCTAACTACTACTTCACTATGTTATTCACCATCAAGAAATGCCAACCTTGTGTACAACAAGTCTTAATATTTTCTGTTGTTGGCAAAGCAGTATGCACAGTAAAGATGTTATTCCCAAAGCAAAAGGGTTAATATGTGCTTCAGTAATGCCATGGTCACATCATGCTATCTTACAGTTTTATTAAAAGTTGCTTCTCTGTGAAAATGAATTGTAACTTATCTTTCTTTTTGGTTTTACCTTTGATAGTTTTCAGTATGTAACATTTTCCTTTTATCTAATGGTTTTACCTTTCTTCAATTCATCTGGAATATCAAATACCTGTGGCTCTTATTAGTATTCCCACAGTGCAGTATTTGTTAAGCAGGTTCTTTGTTAAGTGTTACGCTTCTCAGTGACTGTCACTCTCATAAAGATGAGATGCAAATTACTGTCAGTACAAAAAGACAGATGGATCAATGTATAACATTGGAAATACAATATTTCTTTTGAAAGGTGTAATTTTCCTTTCAATGAAAAAAATTGTAAAATCAAAATTGTCAACATTAGTTACCAGAGCAGTTTGGTTAAACCTTCTGGTTGATGCACTTGCTGAATTTTGTATCCGTTACCTTTTCTTTTCATTATGGAATATCATGATATTAAATTGTGGTATCAGATAAATTGTGCAGGTAACAATCAAACATAATATATAGGTAAAACTTCTGACAAATCTATTGGAAATTAATTGTGCAATATTCAAGCTTTACTTGTAGATGATTTGGATAAACACTGTTAATTCAATTGCTAATATCACTTCTTGTCATTTTTGAGGGTTTTTTTGTTTTTTTGCTCCCCTTAGGGTAGTGATCCATATCCCTGGCCAATGTTTTCATCATATCCTTTGCCAAGATGCTACCTTAAAGAAATTCCTAAGAAAACTGATGTCAGACAAGGTAACAAACCCAGATAAGAAGTCCAAACACCAAGCAAACATCTGTACCAATTTTTGTTTATTCTTTTCTCACAATATAATCTTATAAATAGGCTGGGATTTTATATTGTTGTATCTATTTGGCTAAAGAGGTTAGTTTGTTTTTAGTTGTGTTGCTTTGTGTATCTGTCAGTCTGCAGAGCTCTACTTAGTAATCCGTTCTTTATTCAAACTTCAAGATTAACCTTTTGGCTCGTCTCAGGTGGGTGATACATGAGATATAAATACATCATCTGTCTGGCAGCTGAAGCAAGACAATATGGTTAAGCTACAGGATTTTTTATGCGCTGTTTTCTTGATTTCAGTCCCTGTTTGTAAAGCTTGGTGGTGTGTGCAATAGTGCTTAGGAACAGTTGGCTGCTGCATTGAATATCAGTGTGGAATGTGGAAAGATGGGGAATTGTCTAGATAAAACAGATGAATATATATACAAAAGCCAGTTTCAGGTTTGATTTTGTGTATGGAGTACACTAGAACTTGGTGAATAATTTATAACAATTATTCTCTCTATTTTGCCTGTTCAGATTGTCTTTGAACAAAGTATAAGATTCTCAGAGACTTTTATCATTAGAAATTATTTCTGGATTCCTTCAACAAATAAGTTTTGATCTATTTGTGATTTGCAAAGACTCAAATGTAAGAAATAATATATTAATACTAGACCAAATTAGTAAGCAATTTATAAGCACCTAGAGGATAAGATGATAAACTGCCAACATGGATTTGTCGTGAGTAAATAGTGTAAAACAAATTAAATTTCCTTCTTTGATGGGATAACTGGCCTGTGAGATAATGTATGTTGACTGTAGCGAGGCTTTTGATACTGTTCTACATGATACTATAAGCAAACCAGTGAAAAATGTAGTTTGGACCAAATCTTCCTAAGTGGGTACGTACCTTAATTAAAAAAAAATGTGTGCACAAAGAGTAGTTATCATCTGTTCACTATCAAGCTAGGATGCCATTTCAAGTGGGGCTGCATAGGCTTTATGCTCAGGTACATTCTATTAAATATTTCATGAAGTGTGGACTATGGATGATGCTACACTGTGGACAGTTTTTTGGGTTTTTTTTTTCAACAAATACTATACTAGCTGAAAAAGGGAATTTTGGGGAGGACAAAAACAATTTTGAGTTCAGGCTGATTTTGCTTGATATTTTGACCTCCAAAGAATTTTTCCAACTGTTTTAGTTGGTCTAACAAAAGATATCAGATTTTACCCAAAGAATGTTGTCTACCTATTTGTTTGAATAACTTTAGGGAAAAATGATGTATAAACACAGAAAAATTTCCAAGTTAACTTGTGTGATAATATTTATTTGAAAAAGAAATAGAAGTTGTTTAATAGGCTAGAATTAGGGCCACTGGATCCCAGTTGTAAATAGTCAGGTGTGGATTTATATATGAAATGTGTCTGCCACATGCATTGGACTCATAAAAAAACTTAGCCTAGCCTTATATTCTTGCTATTTTAAATAGCAGCTGTATAGTTTGACATCATTAAAAGGAATATGGGGCTCAGAGATAATTTAAAGCCAAGACACCTGAAAAAGTAATGCATATCACTTGAGAATGCAGGATAAGCTAAGGTGAATGGGGAATGTGTTGTATTCTTTGATGTTTTTCAAATAAAACTATGGTTGTCTGCAAGACTAATGTAGGAAATGTCAGAGTGTAGATACATAGCTGAGATCCCAACTGTAGCTAGGCTTCTCCCCAGTAGGAAGATTTAAAGACAGTTGAACTAATATAAAGTCAGTCTAGGTTGTCACTTCAGAGAGAACCAAGATAAAAAATGCAGGGTGGAAATGTTATGCTTAGCAGATGTTCTGGATTCAGCACTAACTAGAAGGTGGGAAGTGCTGCCAAAAGGGGGTTATAATACTTGAGTCTCGTCATCTCAGGGTCACATGTCATTATGAAATTGTTAAAAGTTAAATACATGTGCATCCTGCAAGAAGTGCCCAACCAAAAGAAATACTTTTATGCCATTTCTAACAAGTAGCTTTGAATGGAACGATTACAGTAAATCACAGTTTTGGACATTTTAGGTTGGTTTATTAGTTCAGCACATCTTTTTCAGTAATCAGGGATACGAAGGAAGAGGGATAAGAAGGAATGATGTCTTGTTGCCAGAAACAAGTTGCTTGTTTCTGGCAACAAGACATCATTGTTCACTAGGTTAAAAATTAGGTTGTTTTGACACATGCAGGCAGAAATAACACACAGGCTCCACTTTGCAACAGAAACTTGAGTAGGAGGATTTACCCAAAGGATATATTTACCATATTTGCTCAATTAGAAGATGAGGTAAGGGAAGCCCCTTACCTTACAATCGAACATGAGGCAGCATGGACCAGGCAGCTGCTGTGGTTTGTTGGGGCTGGGGCTGGGGGCTGGAGCATCAGCTGTCAGTCCTACACCACTTTGTCTGCATGCCCTTCCACTTCTTCCCCATAGCCTCAGTCTCCCCATGCCATGCCACCTCTCTCTCTCTCTCTCTCTCTGTCTGTCTCTCTCTCCCCCCTCTGCTGCACTCCTCCTTACCTATGCTCCATTGCAGCAGGCTCCATCCCTGCTGCAGACTGGGACAAAGAGTAGCCCTGTAGCAGCAGCATGGATCTGGCACAGCTATTCAGTTCCGGCCCCATAGTAACATTGCCAGCTCCCTGCCTGGTGTTTGAGAGGGAGCCCTCCTCTAAGGGAATCTGGGACAACCACATTGATCCTTTGTCCCCCCTAGCTGTGGAACTGTGCAGAATTGGAGCTGTAAGCCTCTATTATACCTCAGGACCAGGAATATACTCCTGTAGAATTCATAAGGTTCCTGGAGAAGCCATATGACCTTAGTATCCTCAATGTATGTAAATACCTGCTTAACTGGTAGAATATTACATAGAAGCATTGTGTAACTGGACATCTAATGGGCTGATCATATACTAGCAAGTTGCAAGAATTAATCAACTGTTTCACAGGTGTCAGCAACTCTGTTGAAAGGTAATCATTTGCAATTCAAATTTAAATCAAGGCCCGTTTGTTTAATACAAAGTCAGTTAAAAATAAGTTACATTGTAGTGGTCTCCTTTGGGAGAAGTGACTTTGACTATTTAACTGCAAAATGTTAAGAGAAAATAGAGGTCTAATTGGAAATAAGAGTTGTGGTACTCCTTTGGGCTCTGTGCAAAAATAAACTCCATCTCTATTACTTGCCAAAAATAGAACCTTATCACGTAGAGAATTCAGATACTAAAAAATGATTACGTAGCCTCCTGGCCCCATGGAACTCCTTGAGCTTAGCTCCTTCAGATGAGCTTGCATGTGCTCTGCTAGACATCTTAGGAGCAATTCTTCATCCTGTCACTCATTTGGGAGGGGGTGGAATATTAATGGTGGTATCTCCTAAATGTCATCTCCTTTTGGCATTAAAAAGAGAGGTTACATAGAGTAATTTGGGATACTCCCTCCTATAGGAGGAAGAAAATCCGTGCAGATGTTCTTCCAACAAATCCAGACAGTCTTTGGAAATGTTGCTGTTCACTTCACTGGAGTCAGGATTTCACCTCAGCCTTTATTTTGTGTCATTACCACCCAAATATTAGATTCTATTTGCTGTCTAATTCTCAGCTGCTAACCTGAACATTTGATGAACATTGGAAAGCAAATTTACTAATTTCTAACTTGATACTCCTCCACAATTATTACTTTAAACTCTCACATAGCAGCAAAAGGAAACAGCTAGAAGTAAGTACTTGGAATACTACAGAAGTATTATCCTGGTTTATATTAAATTTGCATACTCAAAGAAGTCACTATTAAGGTAAATGTGTATTATTTAGAAAATTCACTGGCTGAAGATTTAATTATTTATGGATAACAAAGGAATTTCTTTGTTAATTAATTTGGAAGAATTGTTACTACTACTAAGTCAGATACTGGAATCAGCTTTTTTGAAATATTATGTATTAGTTAAATACATCCCAGTGAAAAAGAAGCATGGTACTAATTATAAATTGTTAAATTCCTGAGGCTTTCTTAAAATGAATTAGGTGTGATATAATAATGCAATTAAATGTAATGCAATGAAATAATTCATTAAAAAGAAAAGGAAATATTTTACCAGTTTACCAGATTAAGGTCACTTGCAAGTGTGTGTTTATTGTAGAATAATGGTGTTTTAGGGGAAAAAAAATTAAATATGGCAACAAGTATTCCTAAGAGAAATGAGACTACCTTATAGATTCCTAAAAGGGGCGGGGAGTTGGAAATCACTTACAGTATGATTTTGTTTTCTGAAGAATTTAATTGAACCTTTGTTGGTAGGCTCTTAAGAGTTAATTATCCTGGTCAGTTCATTAGTGATAAGGCTCTGATCCGTCAATAAAGGATACCTATATCACATATGTATGGGACCCATATGTGGGACCTGAGCAAATATCCATTCACTTCAGTGAAACTATACACAGATATGTCATTGCAGGATCAGGGCCTTAAAGTTCACAAGTTATTAGCTTCTAAATCCTCGGTGATATCAGTTTCAGATTTAGCTTGGGGGTTGGGGGAGCAGAACAAAAACCATGTATCCCACATTCTTTTAATTATCACTTGACATATATTACTGAAAGTTCTGTGTCATTGTGCATGAAGCTAGTTCTCTGGTATTTATTGTTCACCTAAATCATAAGAAATAAATAGTGTACTTTGGTTTTAAGGTTGGCAAAAATGTTTGATTTAAAGAAATCATAGAATTCAGGGTGCAAGAAGAAACCCAGCCATTACAGAATTTCTGCTCTTAATAGTTCAGGTTGGAGATCTTTTAATCTTCTGGTCTGTCAGACTTAGAGTGGACTCTTAGGCTAAGTACAATAAAAGAAAAAGCTTGAGGTAGACTAGATTAAACCTCCATGAGTTTCTCTAACCTGCGAAAAAGAGATCAGGAAGTAACAGAATACGCATTCTTCCACTTGTAGTGGGGTGAGAGAGGGCACAGTGATGCCTGTACTGGCAGGCTGGGGGCGCTTCCACGTGCCTCCTGCTCTGCCAGACACTGCTGAACACCCAAGCCCAGCCAGTGAGCAGGTCACACCTGATTTGCTGCTGGGCACAAACCACCACCTCCTCCTGTCAGTCACCAGGAGGGGGAGAGCCAGGAGAGAATCTTTCCCTGGCCCTCCACCCCCACAGCTGCCCACAGGAGAGGGAGGAAGTGGAGGCCCCCATCCCTTCCCCTCCTCCAGCCAGAACTACTTGAGGTATACTGCAGGGTGCTTTCTCCTCTCCCCAGCCAGGGCTGTGTTCCCTGCCAGTTGTTAAGGGTGGAGAGGGAAGAAGGGGATGGTGGGGGAAGTGGAATCCCCTGTCCTGGTCCCCCCTGAATGCAGCCAGAACCTCTGGGGGGAGGAACACTGTGGGGGGCTTTCTCCACTCCCCCACCGACTTGCCCAGCCAGGGCTGCGTTCCCCAGCCCCGTGCTAGCAGCATTCCCTTTAAGCTGCATGGTGTGCACAGCCCCGCAGGCATGCCTGGCAGCGTGGCATGAACACACATGCACGGCTGCATAGCTTAGACAGAATGCTGCCTGCTGGTGGTTAGGGATGGGGGAAGGTGGAGGATGGTGTAGAAAGAGCCACTGGGAGAGCTGTAGTAGGGGACTGTCTCTCCTACTCTGCTGCCTGTGCACCTTCTCCAGGGGTTCTGGCTGGGGTGGGGGCCTCCATTTTCCCCCCAGCCCCCCTGCACCCAACTACCCTAACAGCTAGCAGGGAGTTGGCCCACAGTCCCTTGCCTTGGCTGGGTGAGTCATGACGGGAGGAAGGAAAGCCCCCATGGCATGCTCCCCCCATCAGTTCTGGCTGTTAGGGGAGGGGTGGGTCAGGGGTCTCTGTCCCTTCCCACGCCAGCTCCTACAGGGTCCAGCTGACAGACACAAGACACAGGCAGGCTGGGGAGTAGAGGCTTTTGAGAATGTAAGACAGTAAATAGCTTGGTGTTGGGTGAGAAACCTTTAGTTTTGGGGAAAATACAGTGTTAGCACTTAAAGGATAAAAAACCGCCATGCACATGGAGAGAATCCAAAACATAAATATGTAATATATTTTAAAATTGTGTGCATATCTGTGTGTATGTGTATATATCCTCTTAATATAAATCACAAAATGTCATAAGTTTAGTCCAGTTACACTTATTTTGCTCTGTCACAACCTTGAGGCAGAAGAGCACAGGCGGAATGTCCACCCAAGCCCCTGTGGACCCTGCTTGCTCCCCCCAATCCCTCTACCCCCCTATCCCCCTGCTGCTATCTCCCCATCCTGACTTACCTTGGATCGTGTTGCCATTTTTAACTCACTCTAACCTCCCCAAGTGTCTGTAGTTTTGGGGGAAATATGACTTAAGCACTTACAGGATAAAAACAGTCATGCACATGGAGAGAATCCAAAATGTAATATATTTTAAAATTGGGTTCACGACTGTTAGAGGTGCACTAATTCACCAGTCCATATCGTATCGGCACCAGTAAAAGGAAAATTGACATTATTGGCAATTGGCTTTTTTTGGCTGAGGTGTTCGATAATGTTGCTGATAAATGCTGCATGTGTACATGCAGCCATGGAATGCACACGGCTCGGAATGCAGCCCAGCAGCTTGGAGAGCAACATCCAACTGGTAAGACTGTTGGGGGGAAGGGGCGTGGGGGAAGGAAGGGATGTGAGGCAGGGAATGGGGTAGGGGCAGGTGCTGCACAGCTGAGGCGGGGCAGGTTCTGGGATGGAACCGCAGTAGCTCATCTGGGGGCACCAGAGGGTGGGGGGGCGACTCCCTCTGCTGCACTCACCCCTGGGGAGGCATGTGTCCCACCAATCTGCGCATTGAGTGAGAGCGGGCTGCCCACTGTGTTCTTGGGGCTGGGGCTACACTTGTGTGAGGCAGGTGGTAGCAGCATTTGGAGGGGGGCTGTGGCAAATTTTGGGGTGGCTGTAATCCCCACCCCCCCATAGCTCCTCCTCCCAATGCTGTCACCTGCCTCTCCCTGCCCAACTCAAGCACAGCCCTGGCTCTGCCTCCCCACTGGGAAGAGCCCAGCGTAGCCCCCAGCCCACAGAGGCAGCCCACCCCATGCATAGATCCGGGGGGCACATGCCCTCCATATCTCCCACAGGGTGTATGCAATGGTGGGAGCCACCCCCCTGCACTACCCAGGTGAGCCACCCACGGCTCCATCCCAGGCTCCATCCCACCCCAGCTGTGCAGCACCTACCTCTGCCCCAGCCCTACTCCTTCCCTCACCATGGGGGCCTTGATCTGCCCCCACTACGCCTCTTCCTCCCCCCCACAGACTTACCAGCCAGGCTGCTTTCCAAGATGTCGAGCTGCATGTCACCAATCAGATCAGTATTGGCTGATATCGCTGGTCAATAACCAGCCATCAGTATCGGCCTAAAAAATCTTTATCAGTGCCCCCCTAACATCTGTGTGTATGTGTATACATCCTTTTTATATAAATAATAAAATGTCACGAGTTTAGATCAGTTGTACTTTCTTTGCGATTTAATTTTTGAATGGCTTAGATTGCCTTAGATGGCTTAGATTGATTTAGATAGATGCTCTTGTAGATTAAGATCTTTTCTTTTTCCTAAGTAGGTCTTTTGTATTTGTGGACCATTTTGAAGGCTAAACACACATGGGAGGCAGATGTCTAAATACCTTTAGAAACCTAATATTTTTGGACTACAGGTACTTAAGTTAGCATGATAACTGCCAGTTCTTTTTTTTGGACCAATTCTATTTTATGGGTGGTACCCCCTAGGCCATTCTGTAGCTTGGGGATTTGTATTGGTTTGCACACATTTTAAATATAGCTATAATGTGCAATATAAAACAACATAATTTTTTAAAATTTTTTTGTTTCAGATAGTAATCTCAACAAGTTGTTGTCATCTTTAAAAAATCCAGATAAGCAGACAGGATGGACAGAGAATTGTAGAAAACAGTTTTGCAAAATTATGAAATCCAAACCTGATCTCATCAGTGGAACCAGTGAGTACTCCCTGCCCCACGCCCTCCCTGTAGCCCCGCCATCCGCTCAGGCATTGTGGGCTTTTAAAAGTGCCCAGCACTGTGGTGTGTGCAGTTGTATAAGTGGCGAAATGCACACCAGCGCTGAGAAAATGTCAGTGACGTGCTTTAGAACTAAAACACATCAGAGATTCAAAAGTGCACTGCCCCCATTTTCTGTCTACTGTAGCACATTTCACCATTTATACAACTGTACGCGAAGCAGCGCAGTGTGTGTCAGCTCATGTGCAGAGCAGACTCGATTAATTGATTCTGTTCCGGCCTGCCAGATCTCAGGCACGTCGTGGGACAAAAAGGTACGTGTATAAATGCCCAGTTTCTCATAAGTGTCCTTAGCTAAATCTTACATGATTCTTAGGTCATTCTACTTGGATATGTAGTCTTGAACTGCCTCAGGGAAAAAGGAATTTAACCCATTTTTCATTTCTTAGGCAAGTGTTCCAGCTACTCGACTATTATACAAAAGATGCCAACCACTGTCCTGGTTTTGAATTAAAGTTATTTTGGGTGAACTAACTTAGGTATGCTCAGAGTGTTATTACAAGGTTAGGGAGCCCTCTGGGAATTTAGGTACAGGTACACCTGCTTTACAAATCCAATATGACCTTTGATGGGAGATTAAATACCTAAACCAGGGGCGGGCAATTATTTTGGGCAGAGGGCCGCTTACTGAGTTTTGGCAAGCCATTGAGGGCTGCATGACAGGCAGCCCAGGGCAGATAAATATTAATTTTCTAAATTTTTTAGGGGCCCCGCAGGCTGGATAGAATGGTCTGGCAGGCCACATCCGGCCCCCAGGCTTCATTTTGCCCACCTCTGGCCTAAACAGTCACCTGAGGCAAGATGATGGTGCCTCCGGGCATGTCTAGTAGCTGAACTTAAGGGATAAAGACAGGGTTCAGAGTTAGCAAAACCTTAGATGTCTATGTGATTTCAAGTGCTTACAGGAGTTAAATAGGATTCCTTGAATCACCTAGGAGTTGGTCCCAGTTCTACTTAAGTTCCACCTTACCAGAGTCCCATTTTAGGCACCTAAGTTATTTTGTGAATATTGCATCTAATCTACCTATGTATGACTTTCCATCTGTAAAATAGACAGTTTGTATTTCACAGCAGTTTTGTGAGGTTAAGCATGCTAATTGGTTTGATGTTTATAGTAATATAGTAGATAACCTGTCCTTTGCTATTCCTGTGGGATACATCAATATTGCTATGCCATAATATTAGTAGAAACATAATACATTAGCTCAACACTGTTGCTACAGCCACAGGATCTATCTCTGACGTACTACTTTTGCAGTGGAATAAAAATTGGTAGCATTTATATTTGGTTATTTATATAGAAAAATAGTAACCTGAGATAACAGGGATCTCCAGAGCAAAAATATCAATCCCTACTCATGCTTAGAACTTTTAAAGAATTTAAAACACATCTCAATTTTTGGTTCTGTTCTTAAAATGTACTGTCTTAAGAAACACTAATTTGCTCTTTAAAAAGAAGTTATATAATCAAAAGCAATGCTTCTGTGCTTTAATAAAAGGAATGTAGCCCTTAATGCATTTTGTTATGAGGAGTCAGTGCATAAATAAAATACATAAACAATGGTTAGAGCCTCAGAACCTGTCTCCTCCTGTTCCTCATTTGTGTTGATGTGTCTTCTCTGTGTTTCTGGGTGGTTGTTTTATGGTTTTTCTTCCCCCTTGTTTTCTTCCTTTCTGCTGTGGTGTATTAATTTCTTCAGTCTTCCATGAGGAAGGAAGAATTAAAATAACTTCAGTTTGTCATGTTGCCTGTAGGCTATTCCAGTGACTAACATTGAATAAGTTATATTGTTTCTTTGGAATTGACCACAGTTAATTAACTCTATTAATATTCTTGATATAGAGATAGGAATTTGAGATATAAGTATATGCTCAACAACCTAGTTAAGTCACTTTAGGTTCTCTCTAAGGCTGCTTTAGATTCTTGAAGTTCCACCTGGGAGGCATTCTTCCTCTGCTAACAGGGCTTTTAAAAACAATTGAAAAATAATGGCCTTTCAGCCCAGTAACGGGCTCTCTCTCTTAACTTTAGCAAGGTTGGGTTGAAAACAGTGGGTATATCTACACATACACAGTTACTGCATGGTAACTTAGGTTATTGCACAGTAACTTAAAATTACTGTGCAGTACAGGCACGTGTCTACACGTGCGCACCCATACTCCACAGTAACTATGGTGACTTACACCAACTTGGGCATACATTTGCTACCTGCATGATGCAGATTTACACCCAAGTAGTTACTATGCAGTAAGGCACCTGTAGATGCCTTACTACGCAGTAACACATGCAGATGCCGATGTAAAAACCACTTACTGTTCAGTAAATTACTGCATGGTAAATTACTGCACAGTAAATGCACGTGTAGATATGCCCAGTGACTGTTTAAAGTAGGCTGGCTGCTCTCCTGGTATCATTCCCAAATCCTGTCCTTCAGGTCTCAGATTTTTGTGGGGCTTCCACTTTAACAGTCCATGGTTTCGGTCTTCAGGCACGCGGCCGGCAAGACTTCATGGTCACCATTCAGGTGAAGCTGTAAACAAGGCGTGTATTTTCTTCTCCCCCATGAAAAATGTAAGAATTGTTTGCCTCTGCAGTACTTGTATGAGTTAAAAGCAGGAGAAATTTTTTTTGGTTTCTTTGTTTTTGCTTGTTTTTGCCACTAAAGCAAAACCAATACAACTCTACAACACAAAATTGTTCAGTAAGACAGTTGCTTTTTAGAGTAGACCATAGTTTAGGAAGGCAGTCAATAAAACCAACAAGTGAGAAAACTTCTTGTAAAAGCTCTTGTACAAAATAATTGTATCCCAGCATGTGCGCTATGCATGGGGGACCAAAATTTCACCTTCACTTGTAAAGTACGCTAGAAGCAATAGTGCAAAAGTAACAGAAAACCTCAAAGTAACTTGTAAAGAAAATGATTCAGTGAAAACATAATTGAGTAATTTTATTTATCTGTATGTGGCTCATCCCAGTTTTTATCAAAAGTTATTATACTAAACTACAATCATAACACCCTGTGAATTTAAGTTAAGGCTTTTACTTTTCATTTGGAGACATGTATACAAACACACACATTTAAGAGCTTTTTACAAAAGATGAGCAAATAGATGTCAATAACACAAAACAGTAGAGCACATTTTATAGGAATTACAGCTTATTTTTTAGTGGTAGAAGTGTACCAATTAAAAAATCCTAATGTAAAAGATACTTCGAGGGGTTTTTTTTCTTGCATCTTTCATACTAAACTCATAACCTATTGAGCAATTTTTAAAATTGTGGATACGTATAATCATTTTAATGTTTGTGTAGTCAAGCTGTTTGACTGCAGCATATTTACAAGTCTGATCTCTTGCTTGGATTATATTAAATTTGTGCTGAAAATTGTCACTGTATCTTCCTGAATATATAAAAAAAAAAGCAAGCAATTGTCAAGATAATATATTGTTTATGTAGAAACAGAACACTTGATGTTTAAAATAGCATGCTGACAAAAGGAATGAACAGAGATATATTTTATACTTTGTAGTAAGCCATATCCAACCTCAAAAGCTGGCATGGTTTATTTGCTGTAACATCCCTTATGTTTTTAAAAAACAAAAGCTGAGAATTTTAAAGGAAAATATTGTGATGTTATTAACAGGAAAACAAATTATTAGGATTTATACAATATAAGTATTCTTGCATGAAATAGTATGGGGAATAGTTAAGCAACAAAATATTTACGAAGTTATGTTTGCACATTGCATGGGCCTTGAAGATGCATAATAAAAGTGCTGCTATACTTGCAGACAAGGCTATTCTAGAACTGGCCGTGAATGACTTGAGGATAATTTCAGTGACCACCTCTCTCCCCGTGCCCCCAAAAACCCAAAACAAAACAAAAAAATTAGCATCAAAGAATGATGTTATAAATAAGTGAAGGTATTGTTGATCTCAGATATGCTAAAAGGTCCTGTTCAGATGAAGTATATTTCATTTGGCACTGTTTCAAAACAGCAACATTTCTACTGTTGCTAGATGCGTGACGAATAGGTCCAAGGAGGTGATACTTCCCCTCTATCGGGCGCTGGTCAGACCGCAGTTGCAGTACTGCGTGCAATTCTGGGCGCCGCACTTCAAGAGGGATGCGGATAACCTGGAGAGGGTTCAGAGAAGGGCCACTCGTATGGTTAAGGGCCTACAGACCAAGCCCTACGAGAAGAGACTAGAGAAACTGGATCTATTCAGCCTCCGCAAGAGAAGGTTGAGAGGCGACCTTGTGGCTGCCTATAAGTTCATCACGGGGGCACAGAAGGGAATTGGTGAGTATTTATTCACCAAGGCGCCCCCGGGGGTTACAAGAAATAATGGCCACAAGATAGCAGAGAGCAGATTTAGATTGGACATTAGGAAGAACTTCTTCACAGTTAGAGTGGCCAAGGTCTGGAACGGGCTCCCAAGGGAGGTGGTGCTCTCCCCTACCCTGGGAGTCTTCAAGAGGAGGTTAGATGAGTATCTAGCTGGGGTCATCTAGACCCAGTACTCTTTCCTGCTTATGCAGGGGGTCGGACTCGATGATCTATTGAGGTCCCTTCCAACCCTAACATCTATGAATCTACTAGCTCTCTTCATTTGAGCAAGCTTAATTTTAAATGAAAATGCTTTAAGGTAAACCCGTCGTGCTGTTATTTTGCACGTGTATTACTGGTATCAGTATTAAAAATCTTATGTTTTAGCTTGTGAAACTGTGTGTGGAGTTCTGGAGAAACTTTGGAAAGGGAATAGGCTAGTTTTTCTGCCTATGCTCAATACTGTCATGGTCAGCAGTGGAACAGCGTTTGTGACTGGCAACAGTTGTGCCATGTTTTCTCCCCTCCTGAAACTAGGAGTGGTTTCTCTGTAGAAGATGGTGACTGTGCTAGGGGAAAAAAAGGCA